CCCCCCCCCCCCCCCCCCTTTTTTTTTTGGGGTGGGGGGGGGGTGGGCCTGAGGCTGCCTCTTTTTCCTGCGGGGGGGGGGGCTTTTCTGCTGTCCTCATTGCCCAGGACAGGTCATCCTGTTTGGCTTATACAAATTGCTGTCCAAATCTGTCCCAAACACGTCTTCTCTCCACTGTGTTTCCCAGCATACGTTTTTCAAATGTTCAGAGTTACAAATTGCCGATGACGGACTTCCTACTTCTATGGTATAATACTCCTCCCTCCTATTTTTTTATATATAATTTTTATTAAAGAAATTTTTGAGAGAACAAAAACAATACAAATTTTGGAAGAAAAAAGTAAAGAAAGTAAAGAAGTTTATTAAGTAAGTGAAGGTGCAAAGAAAGAAAAAGAAAAAGAACAAAAAGTTGTAAAGAAGCAGCTTCTGATCTTACCAGCAAAGTACATTTACATTTTACCATCTCTGTCTAAGGTTACAACTTAATTTCCTTCTTTCCTTAGTCTACCCTTTCTAATCATCAAACCCATAAATCACAAGTTCATTTTTTTCTTTTTCCAGCAAAAGATCCATAAGGGGTTTTCCGTCGCTAATAAATGTGGTTATTGTCCTTTCCCTAATCAGACAAGCCAATTTTGCCATCTCTGCTAATTCTGTCATCTTCACCAGCCATTCCTCCGTTGTGGGTATTTCAGAGTCTTTCCATTTTTGTGCATATAATAATCTCGCAGCGGTTATCATATATAAAACAATCTTCCATAGTTGTTTTCTAATTGTCTGTCCATTAGTCCCAGGAAGAAAAGTTCTGGTTTCATTTGAATATTAGTCTTTAAAATTCTTTGCATCGCTGTGTGTATCTGAACCCAGCATTTTCTGGCTAGTTCCTCCCTCCTTACAGCTACCAGCTTTCGGTTTTAGGTTCTGGGCCTCACTCCGGTCTCCCCCAAACAGTGTCTGTGAGAAGCAAGGATCTATCTCCTCCTTTCTGCTTCAATGAGAGCTCCCTGCCTTTTTCCTTCCCCAAATGAAGATGAAGTCTCCTGGCCGCTGGGCTCAGCAAGGTACCCCTGACCCGGGGGTCCTTTGGGGCTCTGGGTCTCCTCCCCCCGCCCCCGCGACTGGCACCTCCAGCCGCCACCTTCCTTCCACAGCCGACGCTGTATCCTCTTTCTGGGGATGCTGACCTTCTGCCGGCCCTGGGGCTCCTGGGTCCCTCCAGCCGCCTTTCCTCGCCTCCACTGCAAGGGGTCGGGTGCCCCCACTGCGTGCTTCTCAGCACCCCTCCCTGCTTCTGGAAGGGCGCTTTTCTCCGCGCCCCAGGCACGCGTTCCCGGCGGAAGAGGCTCGCAAGCGTCCCACAAGGCTGGCCTGCATTTATTTCATTATTACAAATTTACAGCCTGTGGAATAAAGTTCTTTGGCAGGAACACCCCGCAAGGCTTTCACTGTGCAAATTACAATTCTCTGTTGGGAAAGGTGGATTTAACTTTCTACAGTTTTAGGCTTATCAACATATCTTTGGGCTCAGTGAGATTTATTATTTGATTCTCTCGGTTTCCCCATTTATGCAGGGATCAGTCTCAGTGCCTATAAAACACATATGTGAAATCTTGGTCCTTTTATCAATGCGAAACTTACTTTCTGGAATAACCCCAGAGTAAAACTGGGGGGTAAATTAGTTTCTGAGTAAACTGGGTCATGTGTAATATGACTGGAACAGCAGAAGTACGAAGCTGGAAGAAGGCGGCTCCCTGCCCAGGGCAGAAGTCCCAGCGGACGCGCCCTCCGCCTCGGCTTGACCCCTCTCCGGCTCCACTGCTGATTTCGGCCTTGCACTCGCCGGAGGAGAGCCCCCCAGAACAGCGGCGCTCCTCTCCCTCCAGATGAGCTGCTTGGTGCGCCTGCTTCTCACCGAGCGGGAGGGCTCCTGTTAAGCTTCTGCAGAATGAAAAGCAGGGTTTTCGTAGCGCTCGGAAGCCGGTGCGTGGCAGGTCCTGGAGGACCCGAGCGGACTCAAGCCCGTAACCCCGTCTTGTAGGCAACGGACAACCTTCGCTTTGGCCTTCACCCGGCCTGAATGTCCCTTCTCAGATCGTGTGAAATTCGTTTTCTGAGATCTCAGAGTAAGGTTAATGCCACA